GGGTCTTTCTGTGCGGAGTTTGCATGTTCTYCTCGTGCTTGCGTGGGTTTTCTCCGGGTACTCCGGTTTCCCCCACAACACAAAAACATGTACAATAGGTCGCCTTCAGGCCCAGGCCGCCCTTGAAAAAGAGATCTGAGATCTCAATGGGATTTGCCTGGTAAAATAACGGTAAATAAAAATAAAAATAAAAAAATTTACACATAGTCCACCAGGAGGCGCCAACACAAAAGTCAGAGACTTCACATGAGATCTGGGCCATCTTCTGGGGGGAAAGCAGATTACTTCCTACTCGTGAGCGCCCCCTCTGGTGGGGAAACCTTTTGTGGGGATACAAACTTTTTTAGAACACCTGGATCTGTTACTATCTCGCTCTGAAGCACAGAGGAGTGTCACAGGTGAGCTCGTTTCAACTGCTTTTTACAACACGGTCCCATTTCCGGACTCAATAATTTTGCCGACATTTCAGTTAAGATACATAAGTAAAAATATTTATCCAAGTACTACCCCCCAACGTCATGGATGATTTTATGGATTAAATTTTACGTATTATACTTGAATAAATACGGTAGCTACTTGACACCTCTGAAATTAACACATATCAGTTTAAAACAAATACATCAGGTCTGTATACACAAATTAACCGGTAGGATTTGTTCAATTTTAAAAGCAGTTCCACAGCAACCTAAGTGTTTATCCCAAATGATGTGAACAATTTGCTTTGTGCATTTGTAACTACAAAATGGTGTTTTTACCAATAGATAGTAACTTGTTGCATTGTCCTTGCACTACAGTGCAGTTCTTTGCAGTTACTAAGAACCTCAGCAAATATTTCCACAATATATTTCCATCAAGTAACTACTTTGGTCAACTTACTTTTGTTAATGGTCTCTGTACTTGCATGAGGGCAAAGCTAAATGTCTGTCCTTGGTTTTGTCTGTCTGGTCTCTGCACCATTCTGTTACAGGTGGTGACCACAATATGCTGAGCACCTGTTTAATCCACTGGAACACAGTGAAATAACCTCCACTCAGGCCTAAATCCAGTCAGGCCTGCCATTAGCAACCACAATCTCAATTTAAGCCGCCCAACAACAGCAACAAAACACAATCAAAATATGAGACAAAAATTGCACAAACAGAAATCCAAGATTGGGATAATCTTTTCGGCTGACCTTGTTTGTCATCGTCTGAACAACCTTATCTAATATACCAGCTTTCTGTCTACCACATCTCTGAACTTCATTTTGTGATCACTGAATTGCTAGTATGCATTTCTAATATTGCAGTATGCAAACATTTTCAGTGGTGAGAATTTCAAATCCATTTGTTGTATTTGGAGAATAAAGGTTTTAATCTCAGTGGAACAAGCCCGTAAGATTCAAAATACATCTATAGTTATTCTCTGATGTATCACAATGATAAACTAAACATGTTCCTAAAAACTCATATTTGTGTAAGTAAGTTTTGAATGAATATRGCAATTTGTGTTATCGTAATGTTTAAAAAAATCCAAATTATAGACAACAGAACACATCTCTACTCCTGGATCTTTAATTCTCTGGTCTTATTGTCTGATTTCTGCTTCAGTTGATACTCTGCAACCTTCAACATGAAAAGCTGGTCAGGTTACCTTTTTAGGCCTGTTCAAGCATGCAGCGACCCCAGTTACACCTGATGACCATGTCCTAAGGTGTGTCAGTTGATTAGTTCATAATGACCTACAAACTATTGTTATAGTGATTTATGTCCAGTGTTTAATGAAGTTGAAGAGCTCTGCATCATCATGTTCTCTTAAGATAAGGCTATAGATTATAGAACTAACTAAAAGCCTCCTGAGTCTGTGAAACCCTGATCAAGAGTCCCACAACCCTTTGTGGTAAAACAAGAAATACACATTTTAAGATTCTGAAAGTGATTCAAATGTTTTTTTTTTCTTTTTGTTAGAGAGCCACTACGGACATTAGATAAACAGGTTCTCACCCTTCAGTTTCTCCAGAACGCTCTGTCCAGCTCGCTCCGCCACCTGCCCGTCCTCTCTCTGGTACCGGTCATCCAGAAATTCAGCTGTAGCTTCTGACAGGTGGACCTTCCCTGCCACACCCAGCTGCTCCATCAAGTTTGCCAGATTGACGTCATTGGACCATACGTCAAATTTGAAGCGCTTCATCCCCAGGATCCCACACAGGACAGTGCCTGTGTGGACACCAACACGCATGTTGACGGTTTCACATGTCTCCTGACAGAATTGCTCGATGGCCTGGATCATGCCCAAGCCCATCTCCACACAGCAGTAGGCGTGGTCCGTTCTGGGCTCGGGGCAGCCCGCCACACAGTAGTAGCAGTCTCCCAGAGTGCTGATCTTCTCGCAGAAGGTTAGTTCACAGAGTCTGTCGAAACGTCCAAACAGGTCATTAAGGAGGCCCACTAGAGCCGGTGCGGATTTATTGGCCGACATTTTGGTGAAGCCGACGATGTCTGCAAAGAGGATGCTGACAGGTTCCATGCGTTTCATGTTGAAGGGYCGAAATATTAGTTGAGCTCGGGGTATTGAAGTCTTTTTGCGTATGTGATTGTTGTTTTTGGAACTCATGGCGCTTTGAGATTGTAGAGCTCCGCCGCTTCCTCTTACGCCTACTGTGACGGCCGAGGCGGAGCAGGCACCAGAGGAATATCTCTTGCCGGAGTTCTCGCCACCACCCTCGTCGTCACCCTGCTTCATCAGCTCGTCTGCGACTCTCATCGGCATGACAGAGTGGATCATACGCTCTTTCAAGGCCTTCTCCACCTCTAGTTCYTTACCGTGCATGATCGCCTGGCCCACTTTGAGGAACGTGCTACGGGAACGCACCTCTGACATGATGAACAGGTGGATGCCGATGACGTGAGCACACAAGTGGAGCAGACATTTACCAGGTCCCAACCAGAGGAGCGTGTCTTCCAAACTGGACACTTTTCCAGTAGCATCATAGCTTTTCTGAAGCAATGGAAGCCATCCCATAGCCTCAAATAACACAGAATAGAGAAGCCCCAGCATCACTGAGGCATACAGACGAACATGGAGGACACTGTATAACAGCAACAGAACCTCCATGCACAGAGAAAAGGTGCCAACGGGGGAGATGCACGGGATCTGAGGCATGGCTTCTTTGTTCAGAGAGAAATATGAGGTGTTCCCACCAGCAGCCCAGTTGTAGCCAGCAGTTTGTATTTGCGGAGCTAATGTGATGGCAAACGTGATGGCTATTAAGAGCAAAGAGGTCTGGTTGTACAGCCACGTGTAAGGCTTGGTGAAGGTGAACAAGAGGAGGAGTACAAGGAAGGCCAAAAAGGAGGCAGTGGGTGCAAGGAAGGTCCTGGGGCAGCAGCGGTCACTGTTGACCAGGAAGTACACGCCCCACAGTACAGATGCCACTGCCAGGTAGAACAAGACGTATCGAAACCTTTGCTGCGTTTGAGGAAAGCACCCTTTTTGGCAGACCTCCTCCAGGATGGGGGAGTCRAACTTGGGGTCCCAGCACTGAGCGGCTGAGCGTTCAAACAGCGGCGGGGCTTTCTTCTTCACCCTGGAGGTGGAGGTCATGGCTGGTCTGGAGTCAGCTGAGCTAAAGCTGGAGGAGATGCTGTATTTGTGGAGGGTAGGGTTCACTCTGTTGGCAGCCCCACAGCCTCCTCCTCGTCCTGCTGCTCCACTGCTGGCACCCCGAGGCGCCTCATGGTGATGCGTGGAGTTGTTGGCAATCCGAACCGTGACCGCGCCGTCCCCGTCAGAGCCGCAGCTCACCTCCGTGCCAAGAAGCTGCCGGTGCTGTTGCAGAGTGGCCATGTTGACTGGTCTGACGTGTAGAGGGGTGGGGGGTGGGGGCGACACAGAGATATCAAATCTAAATGATTTCTTCTGACGTTCCTCTGACAATCACAGGCGTGTGGCACGGAGGAAGCAGGCGAAACGATGATGGAGTGACAGACAGAGTGGGGGAGAAGGGGGAGGGAGAGCAAAAATAAAACGTGTTTGTTGAAATATTCACACTGCATGAATGGTGAGCACGGCACAGACGGATCGGCGACGCACGCGGCGCCAGCGGCGTGCACACGCACTCACACAAGACGCGCTGTTCCAGTTTCTTGAGCTCACCATGATCTGCTGCCTGGCTTCACTCACATCCACCCCCAGCTCCAGAACACGAGCCGGGCTTGTCTCCCCCCAGTCATCCCTCCTCTGCCTCCTGAGCTCAGCATCCTTCTCGGAGAGGACAGCTTCTGTGATGCAGCTCTGATGCTGACAGATGATCTCCTCTCCTCTGAACGAAGCAATATTTATTTTAGTAAGAGACAAATGTCCCCGTGCCCCATCAGTCTGAAACAAGGGACTTCGATGGGTGTTTGTTTGACAGAGCACATCCAGCTGTCAACAGATGTGCAAGAAGCTCCAAAAGTTACTCTTCTTATCTGAACATGAACATTTCACACTGCCTTTCAGACAAAACCTCATGAGCAGCAAACTGCGTAATACAAAATTATTTTTAAATTATCTCAAAAAGAGACACAGTTTCATCAAGCCTGCACACAGGAAGTGTTTTGCACAGAAAATGCAGTCAATAAAAAAGTGGGTGATGTATAATTACAAAGGCTTTACCTCCCAGGACCTCAGCTCTCCAGCATGGCTCAGTGTGTGGACAGAGGGCCATGGAGGGGCTGAGCAGTCCCACCAAACATGCAGAGTTGTCCGGATCAGAGGCCTGACACAGGCAGGCCTGTTCCCACGGATCCAGCCCCGTTCTTTCCTGAACTCCCTGTCCCAGTCTGCACTGGTCCCCTCTCCACCCGCCCCACCTCTCCCTGCTTTTAAAAAAAAGAGGGTTTCAGGAGGGCTGTCCTATTCAAACAGACATAATCCTTAAAAAAGGAAAAAAAGAAAAGGTATCTCCACTGGCCCAGTTTCAGCTGCCTTCWCCTCTGCTGGGAGTGTCTGCAACTTGTTGCGCGCAGTTTGGCCAAACATGCAGCTCTGGGGCGCAGCCTCGGAACAGGCTGCTCTATAAATAGTGATGATCAAAACTCTTGCAAACAACACGACCAGCAGCCGCAGCTTGGTTTTTTTCTTCTTCCTCAAACTTTTCCCGTCAAACGTGAAGCGTCCTGACGCGTTAGGAGACAACCAGCTGGTGAAACGCGTGCAGAGCGTCAAAGATCGTCCTTCTCGTCTCCAGAAGGCTCTGAAGTTTTTTACTTTTCTTTTCCAGGCCGTGTTTCCTGCGTTTGGAGAAGACTCTCAGAGTCTGTGCTGGTTTGGAGCTGAGGCTGGGCTTTCCTCAGCCCGCATTCCTCTGGAGGAGAAAACCCACAGAGCGAGACTGGGACTGGCCCAGTTCAGATCATCCAACAAAACAAAGAAAATCAAAATAAAAAAACGCTTCTTGTTTGAAGCAGGTCGTCAGGTCCTGGCAGCTCTAGTTTTCTCTGGCACGCTTGTGTCCAACAAACACAGCAGTGCGCCGCTGCGCTCCGGCTGCGTCCTCTTCCGTCCGCCACTGGTCGGCTCCCTTCTCCCCCAGCAGCTCCCAGTTAGCTCTGAACTGAAACCATCTCATCCAGGAGACCGTGCTTCTCCCACCACCGCCACCATCTTCGTTGTGCCCGGGTCGGAAAGGTTTGGGGCCGGCTGCTGGAGGAGCTGCAGCCGTGAAGCTGGCCGCACTGGTGGGCACACACTGCTTCCGGTGGCGTCTTCAACACAACTGGAAAACTAAAACTGCTGCGTGTTGCTTTCTTTTCTTTAAGACCCTTTTATTGTCTGACAATGAGAAGTCAAGCAGTGGCACTTCCAGAAATTATTAGTACAGGGGGGTGGGCCATGGGGGCCACAAAAGTCCTGCAGTGGCCCACCAAAAGAGCCATGAAGAGACAGGAAGCTCTGTTATAATGTTATAAAAGTTTTAAAAACTTAAAAAAATAAAACATGAGTTAGTTCACATCATTTACACAAAACACATGAGATATATGACTGAAGAGAGGCAGATGTGTGACATCTGTTTGAGTCATTCACTTATAAACATGTTGTATAAAGTACCTCAAAGTGATACTTGAGTAAAAAGTATCTTATCATAAAAATACTTTGGTAAAATTTAAAGTCTTCTCTAAAAATATTAATTGAGTAAAAGTAGGTATCTGATATTTTTTCTACTTAAATAAAGTAAATTTCTGACACAAAATCTACTTAAAAGTAAAAGTACTGAGTAAAAGTGAGCAGTTAGATTTTCCAAAATGACATTTATTGGGAGGTGACTTCTCCAAAAAATATATTTTTAACTGCATGCAGCTGTGATGGGTTGTGTACAAGATAATATGGTGTCAGAATGGGATATATTAGTGGTTCCCAAAGTTGGGGTCGGGACCCAAACCGGGGTCCTGAAACATCAAGGTGGGGTCCTGAAAAGATTTTCTAAATTAATTACATTTTTGCCTTAGTTGTTATCTAAAATGTATAAATGTAGTATAAAAATATTGTTACTTTGCCCATGTTTTGTTGACCTGATACAAATGTTTATCATTCAAAAATAGTTGGGGGCACAGGTCTCTGCTGCTGTTATTTTGTGGGTCAAAAGCTGAAAAGTTTGGGAACCASTGCACTTCAGAAATCAATTTAAAGGGGAATAAAATAATTGGTGATGTAATATTTTCCCTATAATTATTACAAAAACACAAAATAAGTATAATAAGTATTTATATTTGTGTAGCCTTTGTTTTTAGGGTTATTAACATAATTTGTGTACTCAGACCAGTAATATTTGGGGTCACAAGTTTTTGCCATGAATATTTTGTGGGTCAGAAGACAAAAAGTTTGAGAACCACTGGTACGTATATATTTATACTTCTCATCCAACCACAGTTAAAGTCACTCTATCCAGGAGACACAATTTATTAGGATAGTTTTTTTAAAGTAATAACAGAATAAAACAAAACAGGAGTAACGACTTTATACTTCTTACCTTTTTAAAAAATGTAGTGAGTAGAAAGTACAGATAGTTGTGTAAAAATGTAATGAGTAAAAGTAAAAAGTACGCTGAAAAATAATTTCTCAAGTAAAGTACAGATAACCAAAATTTCTACATAAGTACAGTAACAAAGTATTTGTATTTAGTTACTGTACAACTCACCATGTCTGGCTGTAGTACAGGACTGTAGATTACTGTGACTTCCCTTCCTGATCACTGCCTCCCATCGGCCCATTCTTTATTTTAGAAAAGTAAATATTGTGTGTCTGCGTTTGAGAAAAATGTCACAAAAAGTAATAAAAAAAAAGCACTGGTTGAAAAGACGTGGGTTGTTAGTGAGACACAGGAGCTCTGCATGTTTTTATTCGTTACAGTTAAGCTCCGTTACTCAACATTATGAAGCCTCTCCTCTCCTAAATATACATTTAAGACAATATTGTGCAAAACCTCCTGAACCCTGCATCCTAATGTTGACCACTTTGGTTTTAGACCGGTTCTTCTGCTTTTATATCTTATTAAAAAGAAAAAAAAAGTGCTAAACAATGTTTGGCTGTGGCCCACAGAGGCCTTCCTTTATTTTCAACAAACTAACCTCAAGTCCCAAAACGTGAACTGAACTGTCCCTTTTATTTTGAAGGCAGACTTTGACTTCCGGTGACAACCTGMTGATCTTTACTTATCTTAACGGTAGTGAGAGTTGCTTCATTTACTCACCTGTGAACAAATATTTTAGATATTTATAATTATGTCTGTCGTCTGTCATTATTGCTTCATTTAACAAGCGTCTCCGTCTAAAAAATAAAACTCTACATAAACATCAACTCAATGCAGACCTTATTATTTATTTATTTTATTTATTTTATTTTGCAGCATGATGAGTAAAAAATAAACCGAATTTGCGACATGATAATTATGTTTGTTATATTTAGTTTTGTAATGCAAAGAAAAATGAAATGAAAGAAAGTTTTCCCCTTAAAGTTCTATTCTATTCTATTCTATTCTATTCTATTCTATTC